GAAGAGATTGAAACCTGAAAAATACGCGCGCGCGGGCGCGCGCGAGGATGAGCGAGACGGGCAAACGGTAAAAGCTTTAAATTCATTCGATGGCTAAAATAAACTAAAAAATCTGTTCGTAAAATTCGAGTGCGAAGGACAGATCGGTCGCTTGGTGAAAAAATATTGACCACGCTTGGCGAGTTCGGTGTAGCTTCCGCTGTATAACGAAATGCCGGATTAAACCATCGAACAGAGGTAGCCGATTGACGCAATAACGTCGAGTACATCGGTATCGATTTACCCGTTTCAGCGCTGATTCGAGTCAAATCGTCGTACCTTTCCTATCGATTACGCTAATCGTTCGGGAAGACGCATTGTCCGCGATAATTGGCACGCGTCGCTCGTATCACGCGGGACAACGCCGTCCATCCTGTTTCATCTCGGGTGAACGTTAAAAAATGATAATCCTCGATGCAACGGACGAGATAACTGTATACGCAATCGCGACGAAGTTGGGACTCGGAGAAATTTCACGCTTAGAAGAGACAATCGGAGGAAGGAATTCGGGTAATAAAATACAAGGCCAGCGGAGGGGAATTGCGGCAATGAAGTAAACAGGTGGGAGCAGCAGAGGTGTCATAAAAAAAGAGTTACAGCTGTAAAAAGGTTGTACACGGGCACGGTGGTGTATAGTGGCGAAGAGATAAGAATCCTATCCCATGATTCGAAACGAGATATGGATTTAGCCCGGGGGTGGGGGAGAACTGCGAAGGTGTCGATATAAAAAGACACGACGCGACATTCGCGAAGCGTACGTCACCTATGTACTCCGTATAACTGATCGATCGTGACAAACCAGACAGGAGAACCCCTTCGTCGAAGTGGCCTCCTTCTTCTCGCACTTCAGACGACTACTAACGCTTCGCCGAGCCAAGTCAATCGAGTGCAATCGAACTCGTTCTTTCTTTCCTTATTGCAACGACCGCATGCAAACCGAGGTGTCGGAAAAAATGGACGCCACGACGAGTGGCAGAGGGACGCATGCACGCTTGATAAACCTTTCGAGCGAAAGAGAGGAAAATAAAGAGGAAGAAACGCAGGATCGGTCGGGTGGAGCTCACACGGCCAGCTAGCAGCCAGCCAGCAGTCTCATCGAAGTGGGTTAACGCGTAAAACGTTGGAGATGTGGCCGAAGAAAGTCGTAACTCAAAGGTGATCCGGCCACTCGTTATTATTCATGACAGCGAATTGGGTCAGGGAGTCTCGATCGATTACGTTCGATCGTTCTCGAAAGAGAATTCGTCGGATCGTCTCATCCTAAAACGCCGCTACTCGGAAGCTGCGGATCGATGCCGCAGAGTGGCGTGGGGTGGTCTTTTTATTTCTCCCATTTGCATAGACTCTCGCGTATGTGGGCCAGTGTGACGATCTACATCGACTCGTGAACTCCCTTATCGATCGACGCCTTATCATGGAGTAAACATGGAAAGGCTCGGTTGTACTACCGCCAAGATAAGAGGCGGCCTACCGAGTCGACGAAGAATCCATTCATTCTTTATTCCAGCCACTACGACGGCGACAGAGACAACGACGAATCCCGTAATTGAACGAGAAGAGGGCCTTTGACCGGCGATTAAACGATCGACGACGAGCTTTATCGTGGCTGCTAAGGTCGACCGGATATCGTTGCTCGTTTCTTTGCGAGGGGAACGTTACCGTGGACGGAACGATCTGCTGGATCGATCGCGGCATAAAGCTTACTCGGGTACCGAGATTATACGCGATCCTCGCTAAACAGCGTCGCGTGAGAGTCTCGCGAGCTAATCTCGAAGCAAACCTCTCGATATCGGTCTCGATGCGCGAAAGGGGAGTGCGAGGAGGGATAAAAGTTTCGGGGAACGTAGCAAAAGTCGATCGACGAGACGAAAACCGAAAGGGAAACACTTTGGAAACTATCCACGGTGTGCTCGGGGCCCACCGCGAGAATCGCTCGAACAAACAGCATCTCGAGTCGGTAAACCGTTCGATAGCTATTCTCGATAGACCGTAGTCCGCTTCAAGATCGTGGGCTGTTCACCTCGTCGCCTCGAAGGTCGAAAGAATGGTAAACGAAAAGGTTACGGGCTCGTCTAGTGTTCGCAACACGGTGAACACTTCAGCTTTGGTACTCGAGCTCTCAGCCGATCAACCAGTCAGCCCAGCCACCCACTTTAGCCTGCCACCCACGTGGCTGTGTGTATAACCAAGGCACACAGTGTTCTTCGATGTTTGCATTCCTTCTCTTCGGTTCCTGTCATTCGAGCGTCGCGCTGGCGGCACGAAAAACGCGCCGCGTCCGTCCACGACAGTCTGGTTCTACTCGAACCGACAGCCCGTGCTTCGTTCCTCTTCGATTTACGACAGAAACGAAAGATTTTCAAAGACGATTACGTTTCAAAGTATAGTTGGAAGTGGAGCTCGGTCGTTGATTCGTAAAACGAGCAACTCGAGCAAACGCGTTGGCATTAAAATCCAAGTCATAATAACAACGCGCACACACGTGCAAACACCGACTGTTGCCCGGCCATTGTCGCGATAACGTTCATGGAAAAACTGCTGCTCGACTTTACGATGAGCGATAGCGACGTAACATGCAGCTTAACTAGGAACAAAAGCGGCAAACGTACTTTTCCAAGTAAAGTTCTGTCGCGAGCCAATCGTTGCGAGACTGGGAAAATAACGCACCGGTCATATTCCGAGTACCGAGTACGAATCGCGAGTCCTGCGAGAGTGACAGCACCCACGGGTGCACTCGCCACTGCCAATAACACTTTCTCCGACGTCGTATTATCTCGAACTTCGCCTAAGTCATCCACGCTTCTTAATTACCACCGCGGAGTCGTTGGTCGACGGGAACAATGGCCAAGGGGACTGGTTCGCGAGGCTTTAATTAACCAATCGAACACCCGACGAATTCCAGCCGGTCGAACAAACAAATTGCATTCCGCGAAGCATCGGATCGGCATGCAATTACGCGGGAGAGAGAGACAGGTCGGTGGACAATGTCTCATAACTCAGAGGCGACTTCCTTATGACTCCATTGTGCCGCGTCCTTGCACGATAATCGTGTGCCCGGTGGTCGATGCTCGCTCCTCCGCTGGTGGAAGGATGGCCTCGATGATGCGTGTCTACCCTTTGGGACCAATCCTCCCCGAGCCGGTGTTTACACGTGTCGGCACAGCCAGAAAGGAACTCGTTCTCCTCGTGCAAACGACTGTGCATTACCGGCCCGGAGTATCACGGGCTACACGCGCGCGTGGGCCGCGCGAGGGGAGCCTTTTTCCGCTTGGTCCGCGCCGGAATATCCTGTACGTGGTCGGGACACGTGGGTGTCGTGCCCACCTTCTTCTGCCGGCTCCGGCCCTCACGCGTTACTCCCCGGCGTCTTTGCTTGATGAATTTCTTTGCACGAACACCGCTCTGTTCGGAATCTTCGAGATATCTATCGCGAACCACGGTCTATAAAGAGCAACGAACAAGGTACACCGAGCGTCGGGTTCGAGTCGTAAGGGTTTGGTCCGCGTTCCTAGGATTCCGAGGGACGAAAGAAACGCTAATTTTATGGAATTAACGACATTTAGAAATTTATTCGAAAGGTAATGACAGTGCTGGCGCGGGACAGTTATTTGGTCCGGTATTTCACCGCTATTGTTCTCTCGATATTTATCAGACGGTATTTATGGTAATACTAAATTTTATTTGGCAGATCGTGCCGCGTCGTAAACCTCGAGTGAAACGAGTATCGCGTTTATTCGAGGGCTAGTCGCTGTTTTATAACCGCGATAGCTAGAGAAACGACTAGCAGCGTAGGTAACCGCGCCGACATTCGTCACGAAGCGACCGCTTAATATTCACACGCGCGGACTGCACTTGAACGATCCCCCACGTCTGCCACGGTAAACTCCGTTGATCTTGATTACTCGGTTATCGGCGTTATCGCAATTTCCGTTCCCGCGAAGGCCGATTGTTAAAACGTCCGCCAAGACGCTAATAACGCATTACGTTCTCTTTCATTGGCAGCAATGGAACGTGCGCGAGTTACCCAAGAACCGGTTGTTACATCAATCTGGAGTGACAGCCCATTGAAAACGCGACTCGGTAGAATTCGAACTCGCGAATCGGAAAAATTTGCCCTCGGCAAACGCGGAATCGATGCGTCGAATCGAATATTCCACCGAGTAGAACCGAGTCGCGAATTTGTCCATCTCGGCGAGACGAACCACGACGAGATTCGCGAAGCACCCATCGAGCGATGGCCGGCGAAATATCGGAGCACAAAGGACGAGAACGGAGCCCTGAACCGGAGCAATTCCTCGTCCTCGAGTTCATAATTCTTGCCGCCAAGCACAAGGTCCGATTGGTTACGCAAGCACAGCGGGCGTTCGGTCCGCATCGCGGCGACTGCAGGGACTCGTGCTGCAGTTTATAGTCTCGTCCCCACCCTGAACCCTCCCGACCACGTTCCAGAGCCGCGGACTCTTCTTCGCAGTGTCCCTGACGTGAACCGCCACGACAATATTTGCGGGAATCGCGAAGATAACTGCGGCGATAAAGAGGAACGCAGCCTCGGCGGTTAATACCGAGCAGCAGCGTCTACCTAACCTAACCACGCTAGTTCCCGCGTTTAAACCTAATATTCGAAATCGACGTCGATTCACCGTCGTGGAAAAGAAGTCGCGCGCGTAATAATTTTTTAATTTTGCAACGTTGGAACCCGGGATCGAAGATCGGAAGCGAGGGGAGCAAGCTCGCGAGGAGATGGTTCGACTCGCGAACCCTCGGCGAGAAAGTCGGCGAAGAAGAGGCAACTGGCGACGAAGCGATCGACGACAAAGAGGTGGTTGGAGCGAGGAGGGTCGGTCGTGTCAGGGGAACGGCACATGCGACACACGGTCTAGCTTCTCTTGTTCCGCGCGATCTCCGCGCGGTCGGCCAGTTGCGGTACGCGCATACATGTAAGCGCACGTTCGTCGCGTGAGAGGTCTCGAGGCTGCGGGCATTTCCGTGGCAGCGGAAAATTGCCAGTTCCACGTAACCGTTGCCCGCCACTCGGCGTTATTTCCCGCGTTCCTCGAGCGCGCGATGTTCGCGTCGGTGTGTCGTGATCGCGATCTTGGCTCGTTTCGTCCGTGTCCTACGCGACTTTCGACCTTTACGCGCCGCTCTCGCGCGTCGTCCGATGCTCGTCCACGCTCCGGTAGCCGCGAGTGATTCCATCGAATCAACGAATCCGAGTGTCGAACCGGAGATGGAGCACCGCCGGTGTCCGTGAACGATTAACCTGTGCGTCGGCAGAGTTGGCCTCCGTTTCATCCAATTACTCTGGTCGGAGGCGTCGTTTCGGCGCTTCTCGCGACGATTCTCTTTTACGAGCGACCAGCGTTCCAGGATAATTAAATCGCGTCGGCGAAGGGACAGGTCGGCGTTTAAAGTCGAGTCCTCGAACGCGTAGGAGCAACTCGTAGGGACGTGCTAATCGATTAAGTCGATCCGTCGATCCTCGAATCGGGCAACTGCGTCGTTAGCATCGCGACGTGGCTCGTAAAAGTTTTATTGTTCCGCTCCGCGGACACGCGGGGCAGGGGCGGATAAAGGAGGTCTGCTGGAGGCTCTGGCTACGATATCTACGTGATCGTTGGTACGGATCTATCTCCCGGAGCGATGGATAAATATTTACGAGGAATATCGCGGACTCGGGCGACCAGAGAGCGGGCTGGCGAAGCGGATCGTGCGCGCCGCGATCTGCTACTCGCCAGTCGTACTACGTGGATACGTGTGAGAGCACGTAGCGTGTGCAGTTCCGTCCCCGTGCCGCTCGTGAGATACTCCCTCGATTCGCGTGTTTTCGCGTGTTCGCGCCGGGGCGAGTCGAACGAGTCATCGATTGCTCGTCCGCCGACGAGTCAGAGCTGCTCGAGCATTCGGCTCGATCGAGAATTCAGCGTTCGTACACTAGCGATGAATCACTCCGACCATCTCGCTCTTTGTCTCTACGCTTCTCTTCGTCCACCTCGGTCGAGAGATTCGAATTTCCGATAAGATACGCGAGTCGTCGAAAGTAGCGCGTGGATCCGCCATCTCCGAGCTAGTCGGATCGGACGAGAAGGCACGGCCGCATCTTTCGGATTAAAGCACACCGCGTAATCTGCCCGACTAATTTGCAATTTCGCTTCTTCTCGCCATTGTCCTCGTACTTGTCTCTCTCGCGAACCAGTTCACCCGCCGGTCCACGTCGACGA